GAGGGAGTTGTGATTTGGCGGAGAGAATCGGAATCTGGAAGAACCCTAGATAGTTAACGAGGGGAGGAGATAAAGACGGAGAGATAGAGGGGAAGCCTATTTAACCTGCTTATAAACCATGACCTAATAAACAGAACCAGAGGGAGTGATTATAACTGTGTGGATATTATGGTAAAGATAGATGGAAAGGAATCATGAACCGGTCCCGGGGCTGTGATAAAAACCATAGCTGTGTTGATAGTTCATAGCTGTGTTGATAGTTCATAGCTGTGTTGATAGTTCATAGCTGTGTTGATAGTTCATAGCTGTGTTGATAGTTCATAGCTGTGTTGATAGTTCATAGCTGTGTTGATAGTTCATAGCTGTGTTGATAGTTCATAGATATCACTGACATGGTCATATCACTGCCATGGTCATATCACTGATGTGGTCATATCACTGCCACAGTCATATCACTGCCATGGTCATATCACTGATGTGGTCATATCACTGCCATGGTCATATCACTCTCATGGTCATATCACTGCCATGGTAATATCACTCTCATGGTCATATCACTGCCATGGTCATATCACTGCCATGGTCATATCACTGCCATGGTCATATCACTCTCATGGTCATATCACTGCCATGGTCATATCACTCTCATGGTCATATCACTGCCATGGTCATATCACTCTCATGGTCATATCACTCTCATAGTCATATCAGTGCCATGGTCATATCACTGCCATGGTCATATCACTGATGTGGTCATATCACTGCCATGGTCATATCACTCTCATGGTCATATCACTGCCATGGTCATATCACTGCCATGGTCATATCACTAATGTGGTCATATCACTGCCATGGTCATATCACTGATGTGGTCATATCACTGCCATGGTCATATCACTGCCATGGTCATATCACTGCCACAGTCATATCACTGCCATGGTCATATCACTGATGAGGTCATATCACTGCCACAGTCATATCAGTGCCATGGTCATATCACTGCCATGGTCATATCACTGATGTGGTCATATCACTGCCATGGTCATATCACTGCCATGGTCATATCCCTCTCATGGTCATATCACTGCCATGGTCATATCACTGCCATGGACATATCACTGCCATGGTCATATCACTCTCATGGTCATATCACTGCCATGGTCATATCACTCTCATGGTCATATCAGTGCCATGGTCATATCACTGCCATGGTCATATCACTGATGTGGTCATATCACTGCCATGGTCATATCACTCTCATGGTCATATCACTCTCATGGTCATATCACTGCCATGGTCATATCACTGCCATGGTCAAATCATTGCCATGGCCATATCACTCTCATGGTCATATCACTCACATGGTCATATCACTGGTCTCCAGCTTGCCAAGTGAATCAGCCTATTGTGCTGCATGTCTCATGAATCTTAATCACTGCCATACTCTTTTATTTTCCTTTGTCGGCTTCCCTCTTTTTATCTCATTTTCTCTGCTAAATGTGTCTGTATCTTTTCTCCTTTCTTCTATCAATCTATTTTCAAACCTGCTTTCGTTCCCCACATCTTCAATAGCTCACAATCTGTTTGTCTCTTGATATCTCATCCCGTTCTCTGTCTTCATTTTCTTGTTCTCTCCATCATTTTCTACTCTGCCTCCTGTCCAATTTTCTGGCTCAACTTTACCATTCATCTCCCTCTCTGCGGCCCTGCTCGTCTCCTGATCACCCCATCCTTCATTCTCTCTGCCCCACCTATCTATCCATCTAGCTATCCTCTTGTCACCTCTCTGGTGACAGAATTTCCATTCGCCCATCCAGCCCATTCACATGGAAAAGCAAGCAAATGGCCAGAAACAAATGAAATGGGAGATGCAAATCTATATTCAAGAGGCTCCTAACCACCCATCTCTCTGTGGAATCCATATCGTGTCCGTCCGTACGTGTTCCCTCCCGGCTCTAACTATGGGCCCTTACCGGTGGAAATTGGATTCCCTCCCCACTAAACAGATTAGCGCGTGTCTCTTTGTTTGTCGTCCACGGTCGGTACGTTGTGGAAAGCAAAACACCTGAACAAAAGATGATGGCGTCCTGCCGTTCCTCACAAAACATCTCCGGGACAATGCAGCAGTTAAGTGGGTTACCTCCGATTTCCCCGGCCCCTGCACCCCCCGATCCGCCGACACACACGACAACATGCTGTTCTGACAGACATCGTTTTACGGAGATGTTTTCATGTCCTGTCTGCCCTCTGAGAGAAGACGAAGCTGCGAAAATGCACGAGCAGTTATGAGAACATGCTGATGCAGTAGCTAGATGCGCACACACACATGCACGCACACACACTGACACACACACACACACACACACACACACACATGGCCCAGCAGTAGAGATGTGGCGGTAGTATAGTAACAGACTTAATCAAAGGCAAATTGAAAGACGGCGTAGAGTGTAAAGCCAACACAAAGATTGACCCACGTCAGGTGATCTGAGACTGATGCCCTGACAGGTTCCTCTCATGACGACGGGCTCCAGCTGGGCGTAACCATGGCAACAGAGTAAACCAAACAAGAGAGGGGGTGGAGACAGAAAGAAAGTGTGTGTGTGTGTGCGTCAGTGTGTGTGTGTGTGTCTGTGTCAGTGTGTGCGTCAGTGTGTGTGTGTGCGTCAGTGTGTGTCAGTGTGTGTGTCTGTGTCAGTGTGTGTGTGTCTGTGTCAGTGTGTGTGTCAGTGTGTGTGTCTGTGTGTGATCTGCGAGTGTCGTCGTGGGTGCGGCAGTCAGTTGCTGTTTGATGATGCTGCAGACAGCGAAGGCAGCTACTCTAAACAGGCTTTTATCATCGTCTGACAGATGTGTGTTCTTATTCACCAGGGAGGCTCAATCAACAGTCGTCACGACGCCTCACAACCCAGCTACCTACCTAGTTACCTAGCTACCTGTGTGGAACAGCGAGTCTGCATGGCAGCAAGTCAAGACTGCCAGACAACACTACCGGTGCCTCCACTGCTGCCGTCCTTAGATGTACACCAGGGCTTCCCAACCCCCGGTCCGCGGACCAGAAATGGGCTGGAGAGGCTTTGCTATCAGGCAACAGGGCCTTGAAATGTTTTTCACTTAAGCCTGTGATGGGTAATAAATTAACTTGTGCTGTCCGGACTGTGAGCCAAGAGTTTCAATCTGAGTGCCTCAAGCGTATTTTGTGAACACATGCTGCTGATTGGACGGATTTAACCGCCAATCACGTCTCTGACCTTCCAACATCAGAAGTGTCCGGGAATGAGATTATAAATATTCTGAACAAAGCCTACCGTTTGATGACGGTGCCTCAGTGGAGCGCGGGTTTACATGGAGGTGATTGATACGCGGTATTACTGTGCATTTAAGCACACCACGGTCTACAAATGTGTTGGTTGAGTAAATAGTCTACGATAATGAATAACACAAACTGTTACTATGAACAATAGCTTGTAGGGAGTTTGCTTGTGAATAGCAAGAGGTTGGTTACTAGACGTGACTACCAGGCAATAAGCATTTATATGAAAGTGTCTTGTAGATGTTCTCTCCTGAAACACAGACGCCGGGTCTTAGACGTGTATGGATTGAATGTGACTCGCGCATCCAGAGACAGACAAGCGAATACAGACACAGAGGCAGACATACCGACAGACAGACTGACAAAGACAGATTGACAGAGATTGAGTGTGACAGGCCCAGTCAGACAGACAGACCAACAGACCGACAGACAGACAGACAGACAGACCAACAGACAGACAGACCAACAGACAGACAGACAGAGAGACCAACAGACAGACAGACAGAGAGACCAACAGACAGACAGACAGACCAACAGATAGACAGACAGACCAACATACAGACAGACAGACCAACAGACAGACAGACAGACAGAGAGACCAACAGACAGACAGAGAGACAGACAGACAGACTGACAGAGAGACCAACAGACAGACCAACAGACAGACAGACAGGCAGAGAGACCAAAAGACAGACAGACAGAGAGACCAACAGACAGACAGACAGACAGACCAACAGACAGACAGACAGACAGACAGAGAGACCCACAGACAGACAGACAGACAGACAGACAAACAGACAGACCAACATACAGACAGACCAACAGAAAGACAGACCAACAGACAGACAGACAGACAGACAGACAGACAGCCAGACAGCCACACATACAGACAGACAGACCAACAGACAGCCATACATACAGACAGACAGACAAACAGACAGACATACAGACAGAGAGACAGACAGACAGAGAGACAGACAGACAGACAGACAGACAGAGAGACAGACCAACAGACAGACAGACAGACCAACAGACAGACAGATAGCACATTGAGTGACCCCGTCTTCAGGTCTCCATTGCTCCCCTCCTGCAGGGTGGGTTGTGTAACAGCTGGGTACAGACTGGAGCTGCTGCTGGTGCCGCTGGTGAGTGTGTGTGTGTGTGTGTGTGTGTGTGTGTGTGTGTGTGTGTGTGTGTGTGTGTGTGTGTGTGTGTGTGTGTGTGTGTGTGTGTGTGTGTGTGTGTGTGTGTGTGTGTGTGTGTGTGTGTGTGTGTGTGTGTGTGTGTGTGTGTGTGTGTGTGTGTGTGTGTGTGTGTGTGTGTGTGTGTGTGTGTGTGTGTGCGTGCGTGTGTGTGTGTGTGTGCGCGTGTGTGTGTGTGTGCGTGTGTGTTTGTGTGTGTGTGCATGTGTGTATGTGTTGTGTGTGTGCATGTGTGTATGTGTTGTGTGTGTGCATGTGTGTGTGTGTGTGTGTGTGTGTGTGTGTGTGTGTGTGTGTGCTGCACTACTCCTTCGTAGTCTGGGGTATAAATAGAAACCCTGTCTGACCCAGACTCACCAGGACACCATACTCACTCTCTCCCTCCCCCTCTGTCTCACTCTTTCCCTCGTTCCCTTCCTCACTCCCTTCCTCACTCCTTCCCCCACTCCCTCCGTTTTTCACTCACTCCCTCTGCCACTTCAGAAGGAGTTGGTATCTCAGTGGTAAAGTTCATGCTTTCTCTGTATGATATCCAGGGTTCAATCCCCAGCTTCTCCTCAGGTCGCCATTGCAAAAAATAAATTGTTCTCAATCGGCCTGCCTGGTTAAATAAAGGCTAAATAAAGGTTAAATTAAAACAAATTAAAGCACTTCCTCTCACACTCTGTCTCACTTGTTCACTCGCTCCCTCACTCCCTTAGCTCATCACTCACTCCCTTACCTCATCCCTCACTCCCTTACCTCATCACTCACTCCCTCTCTGAGTATATAAGTTAACTGCTTGTCAGTGCAGCAGTTAGCCTCATTCACTCACACAGTCACACACAGCGAACATACATGCACACACAGCTCTCTCTCTCTTTCACTCTCTCTCTCTCTCTTTTGCTCTCTTTATTCTGGTTTATGTAACCTAGGTACTGATCTTATCTAGATTGCCCAGATTGCATCTACATACCACATGATAAAACTTGCGTTATCCGAAATATAATTGAAAGTGACATTTCTTCCAGGTCGATGCTGAAAATAAGAATGTCTTTAGTTAGTCATACTGTCCCGGCGGCAAAATGAACGAGTTGAGTAAATGGCCTACGGGGAACAATCTTTGTTCATGAATCTATTTTTCCCTGTTGATACACCATTTTAAAACCACTCTTCTTTTGGACAGAGTTAACGATCATGACAGGCGTTCATGGACACACATGGTGGCACTACATTGATTTTAAATCCATTTTTAAATAATGTGTTTGTGCTACAGAGGTTTAGTACTGTGGGATCTGAATTGTTCTGCGTAAATATGTACTAACCATACGTCTGTGTTATGAATCGAGCTGAGCTGAAACTAATCAGTAGAGCTAGATTCATATTTGGGTGAAGAAACACGTTCCCTGGCCAATGGAGTCGTTATTCACCTCGGTCCCACCCCGGAATTAGCATTTTTAGCATCGCCAAATTCGTTTATTGACACTGTTGTGCCGAGCAACAAAGGCTGCATTTTAAGCGCAGGCTCACCTATTTTCAGTTAGTTAGTCCTAATTCAGCTCTACTTCACCGTGCCAGTGATTATCAGTATCCAATGGCCCAGTCTGTTGGGAACAGCACACCTGCAGCTCTGACAACATCACAGCTAGGTAGGTGCTGGCTAGCTACACCTCGCCAAGTATTGGCACTGTGTCAGCATCCCTGCTAAAAGGCAGTAACTCATTTCTTCTTCTATGGTGCACGGGCAGTAGAGAGACAGTGAACGAACAATAGAGAGACAGCAACATCCTTTCCTTTGACTATTTAGTTTTCGAAAGAACTCTGGAAACTTCCGTTCAAATGCATTCTGGGAATTTTGGCCACCGATTGTTAAAAAATGCTGTTGAATGAAAACAGGTCACAAAGAATGTGTCAAATGGTGTCATTTCTGTACCGATATACAGTATGCCCCATGTCATCAAGACCATTCATATTTTTGTCAAATTTGAATTTCATGTCTAAGGTATGATAGTGATTCTGCCTATAGGTAAGCTCATGATTTAACCAGTCCAGATCAGTCTAAAATTACAGGTTATTTTACCACCTTTGGTCATCTGCGGCAGAGAGGATCACAATACTTATTAGAATAATCTAGACGTTTTAAAAATATGGACACAATTACAAACCGAGCATTTATCTCTTCTGTACTCGGTTCTGCTCTCTCAATACACACGCCCTCTCGAAATACACGCCTCCCCTCCTCACCACAAAGCTGGCAGTCATACCTAATCCCTCTCCAGGCCGGGTAATCCCGGACAATCCCAGGCTAATCCTGGTTTAATCTGGGCTACTCCTCAGCTTGGGCAAACCCTGGCACAGCAGAGACAGGACACAGATTGGTCCGTTCGTCGGATCACGAGGATTCGCGGTGGAAAAGGTTAGCGTTATGACGACGCCCATTTTGCCGTTATTAGTGGGGAGGTTTGATTTATTGGATGGAAATGAAAACAAGATTGTTTGACCGGCCTGTATGGATTTATAGACAGCTTGACTTGCCCATAGCACTGGTCATACCTCCTGTTTGACGTAAACATGTTTTCTAGGATTCAGCAGTACACAATTGCAATATTTGTTCACCATCATCTGCATCTCCGTGATCTGAGGCCTGTATCTAGTGCCACAACGTGTGTGTTATACTGGCCGTAGCCAGGTCCAAATCTGTCTGTGTCGTCTTGTTGACTCGCACAGTACGATCGTCGACCTGGCTCCAGTTGTTATACTATCCACTCACCGTAAGTCACACTCAATAAATGTGCCAGTGCTATTTTAGTGTAAATATAAGCATAGTGTGGTACTATAAGACGACAGAGAGCTTTAATCCTTTTTATTGGACATTGATCCCGGGTTCCACGACGAGGTCTTAAGAAGCGCTGATCAAGTGTCTCTAATACCTGGTTAAGACAACTGAGAGCTTTTCACCTCAGGCAGACTGATCCTTTACAGACCGTCAGTCCCTTTGGCACACAGTACTTCTCAAATGCCTCTAAATCCATTATTTACCAGAAACAAGCATCTAGAGCTTGAACTCGTACAGTATTACCTGTCTAACGTGCTGTTTGTCCTCCGGGCGCCATCACACTACCTTCACCGGTCTGTCATCTTCCCACAGTGCATTCTGGTGCCATCACTTCCCACAGTGCATCCTGGTACCATCACTTCCCACAGTGCATCCTGGTGCCATCACTTCCCACAGTGCATCCTGGTGCCATCACTTCCCACAGTGCATCCTGGTGCCATCACTTCCCACAGTGCATCCTGGTACCATCACTTCCCACAGTGCATTCTGGTGCCATCACTTCCCACAGTGCATCCTGGTGCCATCACTTCCCACAGTGCATCCTGGTGCCATCACTTCCCCAGGTAAACGATGCACACATACATGGCTGTTCATGTGATGTAAAAGAAAACGTGACTCATCAGACCAGGCAACCTTCTTCCACTGTTTCAGGGTCCAGTTCCGACAGTCCTGTGCCCATTTGTAGGAGCTTTTAAGGTCGGACCGGGGTCATCATGGGGTCATCATGGGCACTGTGACCGACCTGTGGCAACCGAGCACCGTGATACTGCACTGTGTGTTGTCATATTCCTCCCGTAACCATCATTAGATGGGGCCACAGCAGACCATCTGTTGGTTCTGGATAGCCTTCGTAGCCCCCGGACATCGTTGAGCCCTGGACGTCCAACACACCGTCGCCGGTTTGCAGTTTGTCCCTCCTGAAACCACTGCCTGTAGGTACTCACCACTGCATCAGCGCTGTCACCACGTTGTGGACTATCATGAATTCGACCGTTGCCATTTGCCGCTGTGTTAAATGTGTTAAATACGTGGGATCTTTTCGTAGGCTGGTTTGTTTCGTTACATTTGATACACTGTATTCTGAACCTATTAAATTCCAGCGTTAGATATGAACAGTAGACCCAAATGACCTGCCCACTCATCAGACGCTACTGACATGTTGGCTGAAATAAAAAGCAAGCCTGTTGATTTACTCTCCCTGTAGGGGAAAAGGCCTGCAACTTCCAAAAACGAAACAAGTTGCCCGAGCCACGTCTCTCCTTTCTTGCCGAATCGCACAGACAGCCGTTTTTTATGTTCTAGTTTTTACCACTCAACCCTCAGTGGAGAACTCCGCGGTTTAGGGAGGATCTTTGGAAAACACACGGATACATCATGTAGAGTTTTATTGTGGTTATTTATCTCTCCGCTTTCACGTTTTATAAAGCTTCTTTTTTTTATGTCGGAACGCATTCCAAACCGGAGCATTCTAGAATATTCAATATGTGTGCGATTCTATATTCCGCGGAGATGAACAGTGTTCCAACTGATGTGCGTAGATAGAATATAGCCGGTACGTCCAAAAAACAGACCGACCATTCGGATTCGCAGTATTTCAGACGAGTGTTCTAAAGGAGCGTTCTTCACAGCGACGTATCACGGACTAGACACAGAGAAAAGTGGTCCACGCACCGATCATTATTAATGAATCCATTTCACACAGCCAACAGCCATTATGCATGGTCTTTCCTGTCAATGTGTATCTGTTTGTGTGTGTTTGTGTGTGTGTGTGTGTGTCATTATACACGGTGGGGGCTGTCAATTGGTAATATGTTTCTAGCAGTTCCTCCTGTAGCATTCATTTGATGATAAGTGCAGTGAAGGGGCGAGGGGACGAGATAAAAGATGCTGACAACCACATGCGTTCATTGTGGAGACGCTTTCTTTCTTTCTGCAGGGTAAAAGAGAGTAAGCGAGAGCTGAAGGAGGATTCGTATATGCGGGAATGGCGCTCCTCTCTTCTCCTTTCGTCTGCCTCCCTTATGCTAAGCCTGTCTGGAGGCGATCGATGGAAATTAGTCAACGCTAAAGATTCACTTCCTGTGACTGATGTCACGGGCGGCGCTTTTCTCTTTGAAGGGGAATAAAGGACTGGGAGGCTCACAGATTAATGGGAGAAGGAGAGAGAAGGGGAAAAGAAGGTGTAGCAGCTAAGCAGGGTGGGGGCTGGGGGAGGGGAGAACACAGAGAATTGAGACAATGCTCTGCTGGGAGAGAAAGAATATAATAACAGGTCAACACAAGCAGAAGAAGGGTGATCTGGAGACACCTTAGTGGGCAGTGGTGCTGAGGATCCTGTACTGAAGGTATAGAAATGGTAGAGGAGGTGCTGTACTGTCGGTATAGAAATGGTAGAGGAGGTGCTGTACTGTAGGTATAGAAATGGAAGAGGAGGTGCTGTACTGTAGGTATAGAAATGGTATAGGAGGTGCTGTACTGAGGGTATAGAAATGGTATAGGAGGTGCTGTACTGAAGGTATAGAAATGGTAGAGGAGGTGCTATACTGAATGTATAGAAATGGTAGAGGAGGTGCTGTACTGTCGGTATAGAAATGGAAGAGGAGGTGCTGTACTGTAGGTATAGAAATGGTATAGGAGGTGCTGTACTGAAGGTATAGAAATGGTAGAGGAGGTGCTATACTGAATGTATAGAAATGGTAGAGGAGGTGCTGTACTGAATGTATAGAAATGGTATAGGAGGTGC